TTTGTCTTTCTATACTAAAATAGGAAATTTGTTCAAGACATGAGTCACCCATCTAGCTGCTTCTGACAAAAATTCCTTGGGAACAACTTTGTCATATAATATACATCGTACCATGTTCATTATAGTACGGTTCTTGCGTTCCGCAACCCCGTTTTGTTGCAGGATATAAGCCATTGTCAACTGCCTACTTATCCCTGCATCCTTACAAAATGATTTGAACTCATCTGAGGTGAACTCTCCTCTTCTTTTAGTACGCAGACAACTCAGACTTAAATTAGTTTCCATTCTCCATGTAGACTTTAAATTGCTTAAAAACAGTAAATGTATCGAACTTGTTTGCCAAGAAATAGGTCCATAACTTTCTGTTATAGTCATCAATGAATGTTAACATATATTTCTTGCCATTATTAGACAATGGAGATACCGGTCCACATATATCTGAGTGAACTAACTGCAACCTCCTTGTAGCACGCCATCGACTTTTTTTTGAATCAATTATCAATGTTGTTTGCCTATGATACAACTTGTGTATGAACTTTTTTTATCATTTCAGTTGTGGTATTCCACACATCATGTTTCTGTACTTTAGAGTCCTCAACCCTTTGTAGTTTAGGTGAGCATACCTATGATGCCAAAGTTGAGTTACATCATCGATGGAAGTTTAGAAGCATTGGAGTGCCTTGTCTCCTCCTTTAGTTGCTGATAATGCGGACATCCTGTTTGGAGTCATTTCTGTTTGAAAGATGAGCCATTTCTTTGAATGATAAAGCTTGCAACTTCCATTTTGGACGAGGACAGCCAAACATTTCTTCTACAATCGACCTACACTCAACAGGTTATTGCACAAGTTTGGTACATAATATACATTAGTGACTATGTGTGTGCTGCCATCAATCTTTAATCATACATCATCCATCCCCATCACTTGCATCTGGTAGTTATTTCCAAGATTTACTTTATATCGAAAATTTTCGTCAAAACGAGAGAACCATTGCTTGTTGCCACACATGTTGTTACTGCATCCCAATCTAAAAACCATACATCATTATCCTTTGCATTATTGGTGTCTACAAAGGCCATGAGCAACATGTCTTCTTCATCAAACTCTGCATAGTTAGCTCTCTTGTTCCGTGTTGGACACTGTTGGTCCCAAAAGGGTCTACAAGAATACTAAACAGGTTGTAGAAGGGGGGGGGGG